ACACAAAAAGCCTTTTTTTGTGACTTTTTTATCTGTCAGCACTTTTTCATTTGTTAGGGGCAGAAACCCAGTTCAAACCAACTAAAGGAAGTAAGGGGTTTATTGGCACCTATAGCTGGAATTTCAGGGGTGGAGCCTCCCTTGCAAGCTGGATCCCAGGGCTCCCAGGATACAAGGAGGACCCAGTCTCGCTCTGTCTTCTGACTTCACTTCCTCCTGTGTTGGTTTCACTTTCAGGCAGGCTCTGTCCACATGAGGACCCCAGCAGCACTGACACAGTATCTGCCACCTTCGAATGCAAGAGAAAAAGGGCTTCTTCCCAATAATTTTGGGATCTTTAAAAAACAGAGTCTCATTGGTCTCGTCTGAGCCCTGTGTCCTTTCCTGAACCAGGGGAATGGAGAGTTGTCCGATCTCTGGCTGGATCTCTGTCACAGCCCTACCCTCAATGGAGTGACAGTAAAGGTGGGGCCAGCACACCCAACCCACACAGGCCGAGAGCGGCAGAGGGTAGATGTCACAAGGAAACCTGGGGCTATTAGCAGAAGAAGGGAGAGTGGATGACAGGCAAGTAAAAATAATCATGGACGTTTATTTCGGTCCTCATTGAGGTTTTTTTTTTTTTTTTGAGACAGAGTCTTACTCTGTCGCCCAGGCTGGAGTGCAGTGGCGCAATCTCAGCTCACTGAAACCTCCACTTCCCGGATTCAAGAGATTCTTGTGTCAAAGCCACCTGAGTAGCTGGGATTACAGGCGTGTGCCACCAAATAATTTTTGTGTTTTTAGTACAGACGGGGTTTCACCATGTTGGCCAGGCTGGTCTCGAACTCCTGACCTCAAGTTATCCACCCACCTTGGCCTTCCAGAGTGTTGGGATTATGGGTGTGAGCCACCACACCTGGCCCTCATTGAGTAATGATTTCTTGTAGGTACTGTATTAATTTCTCATGGCTACTGTAACAAATTACTACAAATTGGGTGGTTTAAAACAACTGAAATTTATACTCTCACAGTTCAGGTGTGAAATCAAGGTATCGGCAGGACTACACTTGCACTGGAAGCTCTAGGGGGAAACGTGCTCTTTGCCCCGTTGAGTTCTGGTGGTTGCCAACATTCCCTGACTTCTGGCCACATCACTACGATCTCTGTTTTCATGGTCACATGACTTCCTCCTCTTCTATTAAATTTCTTATGTCTCTCTTATGAGGACATTTATCGTTAGATTTAATGCTCACCCCAGTAATCCAGGATGATTTTCTCATCTTAAGATTCTGAATTGTAGCTGCAAAGACCTTTTTCCAAATAAGGAAACATTAACAGATTCTAGGGATTTGACGCAGATAGTAACCCTGTCACTCCACTGAGGGTTGGGCTGTGACAGAGATCTGGTCAGAGGAGCTGTTTTTTTTTTAGCCTACCACAGATATCAAACCAGAAATAGTAATGTTGAAGTGATTAAGACATCAGAATGTAATGGAGGTTCAGAATAATTTGTATATATTACTGATATATTTTATCCAAATGCTTGATTGCCTTTTAAAGAGATAAAAGAGGCCAGACGCAGTTGCTCACTCCTGTAATGCCAGCATTTTGGGAGGCTGAGGTGGGATCATCGGTTGAGTCCAGGAGTTCAAGGTCACAGTGAGTTATGATTGTGCCACCGTACCACCTCACCTGGGTGACAAAATAAGATCCTGTTTCTAAGAAAATCAATAAATAAAAAGTTTGAAAGAGATAAAAAAAAATTTGCCATGGGGAGAAAAGCAAACAGCTAAATTTCTGACTCAGTTGCCAGCCATGTATGGTTTTCATTTTAATATGTCAACCCTCCTTCTTTTTTCTAGGTAATTGTCGAACCAGCAACTGCTTTTATTTGGGTTTCTACTCTTTTTCTACATATCTTTAGCTCTTTTGCTAAAATGTCATTACCAGCAGTATCGATACTAATCATAACTGATAAACAACAAATAGCCTGTGAAAAGTCACTAGCAAGAATACACCACAGTTAGGGAAATATTTTCAAACCTGATTTCTTATTTCATATGAGTAATAAACATTTAAAAGTCTGAGCCACTGGCCTTTTCTCATCTAGGTAAATGTCCCTAGGAACCCCTGGCTAGACTAGACATTAAACAAGACAAAAACCTTGTGGAAAAAGAGATCAACAGGAGCTCAAAGAAGACAGTGGTGTGATACGTGTTTCCAAATAGATGTCATCTGGTCCCCTGTTTCTGCCCACATTCAACACCAGCAGCTGCCCTTACTGGTTGCTCAGGTTGGACTGGGAGTGCACTGGTTGCTGGTATTTTCCCTTGAGGCATCTTGGCAGCAACGCTGGCAGTTTATATTCTTGACCATCACAGGGGCTAGGCAGGTGGCTCTGTGCTTTGTCAGTGGCGTGAGTCCTACAGGTATTTCATACAGCTGGTGACTGGGGATAGCAGCCCGGCGGAGTCTGCTCCCTTGAGCTGCCAACTTTTCCCAATTCAGGAACGAATGGGCACTGAGACCTTCATCTGTGCTTTCCAGGTGCAGCTCTGCTTTATTGTCAAATGAAGCTTTCTCCATTAGACATTTGTAGGCTCTGAGAAGAGAGAAAGAATTTGGACATTGTGGGCCTCTGCTTGTCTTCTGCTTCTGGAGAATGGACTCAGCCTAGATGTGGCACCCAGGCCAACATGGTGAAACCCCGTCTCTGCTGTATATGTTGGCAGAGTCAATTTCCAGTGTTGGAGCATGAATGATGTAATGAAAAGAGCTCCGGCCTGAGACATTGGTGAGCGGATCCTTTTCAGCCACCACCTTTCTCAGTGACTTTGATCAGCCCCTTTCCCTTCTCTGTTCCTCACTTGCCATATTCAAAACAAGAGGATTGGACTAGATGTTCTCTGAGGCATCTCCTAGCTTTACCACCTGTCAGATGTATACGCCTTATACCAGGTGTCCCCAAACTACGGCCCGCGGGCCACATGCGGCCCCCTGAGGCCATTTATCTGGCCCCCTGCCGCACTTCAGGAAGGGGCACCTCTTTCATTAGTGGTCAGTGAGAGGAGCACAGTATGTGGCGGCCCTCCAGCAGTCTGAGGCACAGTGAACTGGCCCCCTGTGTAAAAAGTTTGGGGACACTTGCCTTATACCCTCCAGGTTGAGCATTTGGGACCCATGAGAAGGATCACTGGCATTTCTTTTTCTAGGAAGATCTCCCCCCACACACCCTGATGATGCTGATGATTGCAGTCAGAGTGCCCCTAAATAAAGTCCAAAAGTACAGGATTGTGGTTAGAATTAAGAGTAGTTCCCAGTTATAATCATATCTAGCATTCATCAAATGTTAATTGGAATGGGTGTGGTGGCTCATGCCTGTAATCCCAGCACTTTGGAAGGCTGAGGCAGGTGGATCACTTGAGGTCAAGAGTTTGAGACCAGTCTGGCCAACATGGTGAAACCCCATGTCTACTAAAACACAAAAAATTAGCTATATGTGGTAGTGAGTGCTTGTAGTCCCAGCTACTGGGGAGGCTGAGGTGGGAGAATCACTTGAACCCGGGAGGTGGAGGTTGCAGTGAGCTGAGATCATGCTACTGCACTCCAGCCTGGGAGATAGAGTGAGACTCCGCCTCAAATAATAATAATAAAAAAAAGTGTTACTTGGGTGCTGCAGGCAGCTGCCAGGGCTATAAAGATGGATAAGATGGAGTTCCTGCCCCAAGGAGCACACAGTCCAATGGAGGAGACAGATGACTAAATCAAGGATTGCGTTACAGTGTGCTAAGTGCATGACACATAGAGGAAAGACATCTAAATCTCCCTGGGGTAGTGTCAGGAATGGCTTCCTGGAGGAGGTGGCACATGGGTAGACACTGAAGGGATGAGTAGGGATTACCTATGTGGAATGAAGATCAAATCTGCTAGAATGCTCACAAAAAGTATGTTCGTCCAACAGATACTTGCCAACTGTCATGGAACACATTGCTCCCTTTAAAGACAGGTGTCTCTCTCATTGTCTAATTATTCTCTTGGGTCTGGTACATAGAATGGAACAGTATGTACCTACATGGAGCACCAGAGGCAGATTTGGAGTAAGCTGGGAAAGCCAGATGGACCCTAACATTTTTTTCTTTTTTGAGACCAAGTCTCACTCTGTTTCCCAGGCTGGAGTGCAGTGGCAGGTTCACAGTTCACTGCAGCCTCGACCTCCCAGGCTCAAAATGATCCTCCTGACAGTGTTCTGAGTTGCTGGGACTACACGCTCATGCCACCACATCCAGCTAATTAATTTTTTTTTTTTTTTTTTTTTTTGTAGTGAGGGGGTCTTGCTATGTTGCCTAAGCTGGCCAACTTTGATATAGACCCTGAGCTGGCAGAACTGTGGGCACCAGCAATACTATTTTGTTGGTATACCAGTATGAAATGCTTGCAATCTGCATTCTGTACACATAGCACATTCCCTTTTTTCTCTCTCTATTTTTCTTCCTTTCCCCTTTTCCATTTCTGGTGCAAGTTAGGGGGAATAGAAAGGAGGGACACAAATGATGTTGGTTTCTGAGTATTTCTAAGGTCTCCCCGTGATTCTACTTAGTCATGGCAGGCTTCTTAGAGGAGGCGCTGGGAAAGAAAGGTTAAAAACTAGCTCGACTAATCGGACTGGCATCTGAGCTAGAAGAGGCTCCCGGGGCCGCTCGCTGCTCACAGCCCCGCCACGCTCCCGTGCCTTTGACCTTTGTTCCTCTGCTAACCTCCCACCAAGTAGAACCAGGTTTGATCACTTCCCCTTTTCCGTTCAGTGGCTGGACACGTCCGTGAGGTTCCTGATTCAAAGCACTTTCAGTCAAACTGGTTCCCTGCGCGGGGCGCCTGGACTGGGGACTTGGGGCTGCCGGCGAGTTCTCGGGGCTGTGAATTACCTTCCGAGGCGGCGGCGCGGCTCCGCCCCCGGCCCCGCCGGTGGTTCAAGTGCAAGATCAGAGCTGGGAGCGGAGAGGCAACACCCTTGCTCGCACTGCAACCTGCTCCCTTCGGGGAGGGATCCTCCCCGCTCCAGCGTCTTCTCGCCGGGCTCCGCCAGGCTGGCGGGCAGCAGAGCCAGGAGGAGCGGAGACCCATCGCTGCCCGTTAACAGTCCCGGCAGGAGGGGCATCGTAATTACTCACCGCGCTGATTGCCGGTCATTAAAGTTCAGGAAACGGTCCGAAGAGGAGATCCCAGTCGAGGAGGAGGAGGCAGGTGGTGTCTGGGGCTCCCGGCCGGCCAGGGTTAAGCGCCTGCCTGCTCCCTGCCGCCCGGCTTGCGGCCAGCGCGTCTTCCGTGGGAGGCCAGCCACTGCCAGGGACCCGGGAGCGACACCGCCAGCCCGGCCGGACCCCCTCCCCCATCACGGCCTCTAGGAGTGCTCAGCAAGTGGGGGTTCCCAGGTACCAAGCCGCTTGCCCAGCCGGCGCCTGGGGGCACAGAGAGCGAGAGGGGCTGCAGGGACACCGAGATGGCCGATGAGATTGACTGGCTGGACCTGCCCGGCCGGTGGGCCTACGGAGTTGATCGCGGTGGGAGAATCTTCTTCATCAAGTATGTTGGTCTTGCTCTTCTTTTTATTTCAATTTTTTTTCTTTTAAGTTGTCCAACTTGAAAAGTGGCAGGGCTGGGGGCAGGCTGGAGAAGGTGGGTGAAGTGGTGGCTGGAACAGCCAGCATGACTAACAAGTTTATCACTATGCCTGTTTGAATGTGTCTCCCGCCTTTTCCTCAATGGGTCAAAGTCCAGCAAAGGCTTGGAAAGGCAGGGCAGGGCAGGGGAGGGGCTGCCCTTTCTCCCTCTCCTGTGGTCACATGTGAGGCCTCCAGGAGAATGACTAGACCAATGCCCAGCCTGGAGTTTTTTCAGCTCCTTCCCTGAAAGGACTGGAGGTAGGTCTTTTATTTCCCCCCAGTCTGTCCTACCGGAAGACTTGGGGTAAGTGACAACACACCAGGGGATCCTGCCCCTACCACCCAGTTCCTGGCAACCCTCACCCCAGAGTCAGCTGGCCCAGGATAGCAGTTCCTTTTCCATCCTGCTTCTTTATGGGGCTGTGGTCAAGAGGGAGGGGGAAGATGCCCACTATATGTTTAGCATTCTTGAGAGAGAGCGTCTTTGCTACTCTCAGTCATATATTAGCACTGTTATATTAATTTCATAAACCAAAATGGCTCTGGCATAATCTCATTATAACAAAGTGGCCCTGCTGGCTTTCTTGGCTCGCTTCTACTGTAGTCATCTTTTGCCAGGATAGACATCTCCCAGAAATATAGCAAGTCCAGAAGCACAGCGTCTTGGACTGTTACCCACACTTGACGAGCTTTCCCCTCCTCAAGATAGCCACTCACAAAACATCAGAGCTGGAAGGGTCTTAGACGCAACCCCTTCATTTGTCAGTTGGGGAACCGAGGTCCAGGGAGATTGAAAGTACCGGTCTAAGAGAAGAGCACTTGTTAATCAGAGCTCAGACTCAGCCTAGCAGCTGCTTCCCTGAGTACCAAACTGCCTTTGCAGGGGCTCAGGGAGGCAGTGGTTTCTCCTTGGTGCTTCTAAGTTTTCACATTTGCTTTAGGCTTTTCTTCTGTAATTATCACCACCATGATCATAATAGATGTTGTAATTATATTATCTTAGAAATTAACTCCACTAAAGTTCTTGACCCTAAGTCAGATTCTTAAATAACACAATTTCTGCAATATTAAAACGGCAGTGGCTTGAGACATCAGGGTTTACAAGACTCACACAAGAAACTTATTTAAAAGGTGGATTCCTGAGCCCTACCTCAGGAGATTCCTATTCAGAGGATCTGGGGGAGGGCCTTAGAATGTGAATTTCCACGAGCCCCTCAGGTATACTGAGGAAGTGGTTCGTTCTCTTGTTTCTTCCCAGTCTCTTACTTACCATCCAGCTTCTTTTCCTCTTTCATTCTACAAACATCTATTGGGCATCCACTGTTTGCTGCAGTGCTCGGCACTGGAGATAAAAAAACACACTTTACTTTAAGGTAACAGGGAGAAAACATAAATCAATACTTAGGAAATAATATGGTATTTATTCTTAATCCTGAGGCATTTTCATGATGCTATGAGAAGGAAAGAACTAATGGTCTCCAGGGAGTTCAGTGAGGGCTTCCTGGAGGAGGAAGCATTTGAGTTGATTCTGGAGGAGAGACAAGAGTGAAAGAAGTCTTGGAAGTGGAGGCCTGGGTAAAGAAAGACACCAATAAGTGATGGGGCACAGGTATCCTAGAGCACTCGGAGAGGTTCGGTGGAGATGGGGTGGAGCTCCTGGGATGCTGTAGAGGACCAGGCAGAAAAAGTAGGAAGAGGTAGCTTGAGAGAGCCCTTAAGTGTTAGGCTAAGGGATTTGGACTCCATCCTGTAGGCGATGGGAAGCCAAAGGAGATTTCAAACCCGGGCTTGCCATCCTCAGATCTGCGTTTAGAGCCATCTCCGTGGCAGCTGCGTGGGCGATGATTTGATGGCCGAGTGAGAGGCAGGAGGAGCAACTTGAGGTACGGAAAGCAGTTAGGAAACAATTGCAAAAGTCCCGGAGACAGCTGATGGGGCCCGAATTAAAACGGTGAGAAGTGAAGTGGAGGGAGAGATGGAAGAAATCTTCAGGAACCAAATCAGGAGTGCTCATCTAATGCTTAAATTCTGGGGAGGGGAGACAAAAGGAAGAATCAAAGCTACAGCTTAGAATTTCTAGCTTGAGTTTGACAGAGATTGGGAGTATGGTAAGAGGACCACATTTTAGGGGGAGTAGAGGTTTAATGCGGAAACACCAGGGGACATTCAGGGCGTGCTGTCTAACAGACATCTGGATATACAGGATGAAGTTTGAAGAGAGAGGCCTGGGCTGGGAAGGAGTCATCCTGTGAGGGTAGAACCCCCCAGAAGAATGTAAGGGAAAAGACAGGAGGATTTCCAGGCAGAAGAGTGGCCAGGGTGGAAAGTAAGACCGAGGGGTGGCAGAGGTGAGTGGCGCCAGGACGAGAGGTGGAATGCCTCCCCAAAGCAAGGAAGCAAGGAAGCGGGATGCTAAGAAGAACAAACGGAAGGAATTCAGCAGTACTGGATGCAGCAGAAAGGCCAAAGGCTAAGAATGTCTACTGGAGTTGGGAGTGAGGGAGGCCTTTAATGACGTCTAGGAAAGTAGTTTCAGGAGAGGGCTGAGAACAGAAACCAGATTGCAGTGGATTGGCGAATGAAAGGCCAGGAAGTGGGGAAAGCTAGGAGGGACTAGTGTCCGGTGATCGGTCAGGAGAGAGGAGCGGGAGACAGGAAGCTGCCAGGTGACATGGTATGAGAGGGAGGCAGAGTGTTGAGACTACAGAAGACATGATGGGGGAGGAGGGGAAAGGGATGGGCCACATAAAGTGGGGGGAGGTAAAGACACAAGGCTGGGATGCTCAATAGATGGAGGTTCGATAAAAGACGGAGGGGGAATAACCCAGGCAGAGAGATTAGCCTTAAAGGAAAGAGAGGGCTACCTCTTCTCTAGTGGAAGACGAGTATTAAAGGATGGGTGAGAATCTAGGTAAGTTTTGGGGGTGAGGTGATTGGGTGTGTTGGGAAAGCTCCCACTTAATCTTTTCTATTTTCTCTTCAATTAAGAGATGAGATCCTGGCCGGGTGCGGTGGCTCAAGCCTGTAATCCCAGCACTTTGGGAGGCCGAGGCGGGTGGATCACGAGGTCAAGAGATCGAGACCATCCTGGTCAACATGGTGAAACCCCGTCTCTACTAAAAATACAAAACATTAGCTGGGCATGGTGGCGCGTGCCTGTAATCCCAGCTACTCAGGAGGTTGAGGCAGGAGAATTGCCTGAACCCAGGAGGCGGAGGTTGCGGTGAGCCGAGATCGCGCCATTGCACTCCAGCCTGGGTAACAAGAGCGAAACTCCGTCTCAAAAAAAAAAAAGAGATGAGATCCTCTGTGCGGGAGAGGGGCTGGGTAGCAGAGGCAGGCCTGGATCTTGAGGTTAGCAGGAAAACCTTAGAGCTCTCTGCAGGGAGCAACTGACTGGGGACCTTGAAGAAGATTCTAGGTGGTGCTCAGGGCTCAGCTAAGCTGAGAGACTGGATTTGCAGTGAACCCAGTTCTCCCAGGCAGTTTCTCCATCAGCTCAGTGCTGGAGTAGAGACAGCCTGTGACTGCCTTGTCCCAGGTGGGGGGCAAACAAGGGGAGCAAGATGGTGCAAGGACAAGGGGAAGAGGAAGCTGAGCGTTGTGGGGGGATGTCAAGGGTGGGATGGTGTTGTCCGTGGTATCCAGTGGGGTAGAGATAGATGGGAAGCCTGAGGGGGCCGACAGTGTGTGAGGAGGGGAAAGTCAGGGGCTGGAAAGTCTCAGGAGAGAAGTAAAGGAGGCGAAGGCACTGGCTGACTTCCTCCCCAGATCCTTCCTTTTTTTCTTTCCAGGAACATGTGCACTTTATTGAACACCATTGTAGAAAAGCGTGTGAGGATTAAGGGCTGATACAAGACTCGGCTCGGGGGGCAGGGCGAGGAATGGAAGGTGGAGTACGTGGGAAACAGGTCACGGGCAGGGCCCCTGGTCTGGATGATTCCTCTCGATCTATTGATAGACTTGCAAGATCAGTGTTGGGATGATGGTCAGCAGAATGGTCATGATGATGCCCGAAATCAGGGCCCAGACGTTCAGGCACTTGGCGGTCGGAGGCATCGGCCTGGGCCCTGGTCAGGTTGCTAACCATCTTCCTGTCCCTAGACTTCATGGAGTAGGCAAATGCTATGAAGCCCAGGCAGCAGGAGTTCATGAAGAGGGTGTTGAACACGGAGGTCTCGCTGCAGATGTGGATCACGGTGGATGTTGGGGGAGCAGCGTTGTGGGGCACCCCCAGCACATCTCCCTTATGCTCCTCCTTCAGCATCTCATAGTTGGGGGGATGGTCAGTGTTGGCGGGAATGAAGAAGGTTTGGACGGTGTGGTTCATGGTGTCCAGGTAAGACCAGCCATGGTCAGGTTGCTGGCATGGTTCTCAGTGGGCCCTCCCTTTCCCCACTAGTTTCGATTTCTCAGCCATTTCTTTTTCTGGCATTTGTCCCACCCTTCCTTTTGATTGGCTTCCTCTCCCACTGCCTCCCAGGACCAAAGCCAAGACCAGAGACCCAGTATTTAGCGTCTTCTTCAATGGTGCCAAAGCTCAGAGGTCCCTAGAGCAGTGACTTTGTTTTTTTTTCTGCTTATCAGAGGAGTAGGTTAGCTGGGCGATCTCTTCCTGCAGCAGGAGTCCAACCTTAGGGAAGATCAGTGGAGTCAATAGAAAAAGAAGCCTGTGTTCACACCAACCCTAGTACACAAATGTTCATAGTAGCTTTATGGGTAATGGCCCCAAACTGAAAACAACCCGTAAGTTCGGCAACAGGTGAATGGATGACCACACTGCGGTGTTTCCTACAATGGAATACTATTCAGCGATCAAACGGAATGAAGAATGACCACATGGCACACATGGAAAAAAGCATGAAAGTCCGGGTGCTGTGGTTTACAGTGTAATCCCAGTGCTTTGGGAGGCCGAGGCAGGAGGATCACTTGAGATCAGGAGTTTGCAACCAACCTGGGCAACATAGCAAAACCTTGTCTCTACGAAAAAATAGCCAGGGGCCAGGTGAGGTGGCTCACACCTGTAATCCTAGCACTTTGGGAGGCTGAGACAGGTGGATCACTTGAGGTCAGAAGTTCGAGCCTAGCCTGGGCAACATGGTGAAACCCAATCTCTACTAAAAATATAAGAGAAATTAGCCAGGTATCGTGGTGCATGCCTATAATTCTAGCTACCCAGAAGGCTGTGGTGGGAGGATTGCTTGAACCCAGGAGGCAGAGGTTGCTGTGAGCCAAGATCGCACCACTGCACACTCCAGCTTGGGTGACAGAGCGAGACACCATATATATATATATATAAAGCCAGACATGGTGGTGTTTGCCTATAGTCCTAGCTACCCAGAGGGCTGAGGAGGGAGGACTGCTTGAGCCCAGAAGTTTGAGGCTGCAAATGAGCTATGACATGACTGGCAAAGTGAGACTCTGTCTCAAAAAAGAAAAAAATTCAGGCAGTCTAGTTGTATGATTCTATTTATATGAAACTCTAGAAAATGCAACTAATCTATAGTAACAGAAAACAAGTCAGTTGTTGTGTCTTCTGTGAGGACAGAAAGAGCTGGGGGTGGGGGTGGGAAGGAGGAATTGCAAACGGTCACAGAGAAAGTTTGGGAATTTGTTATCTTGATTTTGGTATCAGATGCACAAATGTATAGATAAGTCAAAACTATTACATTGTAAACTGTATAGGGAGTTTATTCAATATCTCACTTTAATAAAAATTTAGTGGAGTCTTTTTAAATTTTTATTTTTTAGTGGAGTCTTTCTTGGTGGAGTTTATTCTACTCCCTGTATACCTTAAAGACATTGAGCAGAGTCTTGTCCTGGGCTCCAAGACCCCATCCTAAAGCCTGGGTGACCCAGGTGATCTGAGAGTTCCTTCCTCCACATACCGAGGTAGCCAAGACAGTCAGGTGCTTCCTGCTGGGCCATATCTGGCTCTGGAAAAGTCTGTGTCACGTGGTCGGTGGGGATTGAAAAATGATGGCTTCATCTGCCATCGAATCTAGAGCTCAGAGGGCCTGTGCTGCTGGGGAGTCTACCTTACTGGGTGTATCTGGAAGAGTTTTGTCTGGGACAGTTCTAGGTCTGAATCCTGTCTTCATCACTTCCTGGTTTTGACTTTGGGCAAATTTCTTAACTTCTCTGAACCTCAGCTTCATAATCTGTAAAATTCCTAGTGCAAGAGAATTTCGTGAATGAAAAATACATAGCATAGTTGACACAGAAGGACTATGGGTTCATGCAGCCCCTTCCTTTCCTTATTCATTAGAGAAGCTGTCAGTTAAGGACCTTCCTTGTTCTTCTCACCTGACTTTAGCAATCATCTCTAACGTTGCCTCTGCGGTGAAGCCTTCATTCTTCCCCTTCCTTAGCCTCATGCCAGGTAGCACTCCTTTCTTTGTGATGGTATCACGCTTTCTACGCATAGCTACAATAGGGATTCTAGTGCCCATCATATTGTATTGCAGCTACCTTTTTCTGCATGTTTCCCAGTGGGTTGTAGATTCTTTGAGGTTAGGGATTAGGTATTACTCATCTTGGGATCCTCAGAGTGTACTCAGTAAATAATACTCTGTGAATGTGAACGAATGAATGGCTTTGTGGACGCTCCCATCTCGTGTGTCTGGGATTGGATAGTCAGTGTGAATGTCAGTTTGGGGATGAGTGTCTTACCCTGAAAAGCCTCCTTGCATCTGACACTTTCTTATTGATCTTTCTGTAGTGATGAGGAAAAGTCAACCAGCTGGGTGCACCCTGGAACAAAGTCACCCATCCAGAGTGGACATCCCTCCTGCCCAGGTAAGGAGCCGGTCTGTCCCTGCCTTGGCAATTGAGAAGGATGCAGTAGCTTGAGGTGGCAGCTGGAATCCTGTGCCCCAACTTTGCTTCTGACTTTTCCCTTTCTCCATTGATGGACTCAGCTTAGCATTTGGACTGCCATCTGGGGGAGACTGCAGGCTGGTTGGAGCTCCCATCGGGGGTTCTCCAAGCTTCCACCTCCACAATTAGTATCTGGGACAGAACTTTGAGGACACAGATTTTACTCCTCTTTCATCCCTCTGCCCCGTCAGAAAATCCCCTGTCTCAAGGGCTCTTGAACTGGCAGAAGCCAGTCCCCAGTGCTGCACTCTATAACTTTATGTCATGACAGAAGTGTTCTCTATCTGCTCTGCCCAATACAATGTCCATGAGCCACATGTAGCAATGAACTGAAATGTTACAAGCATCACTGAGGGCTTGGATTTTTTTTTTTTTTTTTTTTTTTTTTTTTTTTTGAGACAGAGTCTCACTGTCACATAGGCTGGAGTGCAGTGGCATGATCTCAGCACACTGCAACCTCTGCCTCCTGCGTCCAAGAGATTCTCATGCCTCAGCTTACCAAATAGCTGGGATTACAGGTGTGCGCCACCATGCCCAGCTAATTTTTTTATTTTTAGTAGAGATGGGGTTTTGCCATGTTGGCCAGGCTGGTCTCAAATTCCTGACCTTAGGTGATCCACCCACCTTGGCTTCCCAAAGTGCTGGGATTACAGGTGTGAGCCACTGCACCCAGCTGGAGTTTTAATCCTAATTAATTTAAATATAAATGGACCCATGTAGCTAGTGGGAGCACCTTCCCACTGGGAGAAACATGACAGGAGACGAGGCTGACATTAATTGCTGATTATGGAGAAAACATCACTGCTAGCCCTCAGGGCTAGTGGGAAAGGTCAGCAATAAAGGAACAACGAAAGAAAGAGCCTTCAGTTTCAGTGGCTGAGGTGGAGACACCGAGTCACAAGGCCTGGGTGTTTTAAGTGGACAGCTGTTCACCCTCCTCATGACGCCACCACAGGCCAGTAAGAGGGGGTATGAGTCACGGTGTGGGGAGATCTGCCACCCCTCTCGCCTTCCTGCCCTTCAATGGACTGGACCCCAGGTGCCTGGTTCCAGGGCCTCCATCACTCATGGGCACAGCTGGCACTGCTGGACACAGGATGAAGCCTTTGGGTTGTTCAGGGTCCTTTTCTTTTTAGCTTCTGAGCTGCGATCATTGCATTTTTAAAGCGGGAAGAGACTTCAGGGATCATCGAGTTCGACTCTTCATTTTATGGTAGAAAAATTGAAGAGCAGAGAGGAAGTACCTGGCTCAAGGCCACTTGGCTAATAAGCAAATGGTGTCATGGTTAAAGGCATACATTTTGGACGCAGAGAGATCTGAGCTCAGTCTTGGCTCTGTTTCTATCAGTGTGGTCTTGCACAAGGGGTTTAATCCTTCCTGGACTTAGCTTCTTCGTCTTTATGATGGGGAGAGGATCACGAACCTCAAAAAAGCAGTAGCAAGGATAACACCAGAGAGCTGGCTCCCAAAATGGAGGTAGCTGCTGCTGTTATTGTCACCAGCCTATTTCCAACTTGCGCGGTCTCCTGACTCTAAGGCAAGGGCTGTTTTCTTCTACCAGGTTGACAGTGGTGTCAGCTTCAGTGTTTCAGCTGTTTACAGGTTGCGACCATCCCCCTCGTTATCATCCTAGGTAGGAGGCGAAGATGAATCCAGGCCTGTGGGCCAATGCTTTCACTTTTGGCTGCAGCCAACTGGTTGTCTGAGGCTGGGGAGGGGTTAAGATGCCCCCAGAGCTTGCCGGGAGGGCAGCTGCCTCAGCGGGCACTCCGCCTGGATGGGAATATAAGCACTCTTGGTGTTGCCCAGGCAGAGAGGGCAGCGTGGAGGGAAGTTGCTAGAAAAAGGCAGGAGCCACAATCCACACTGGCCTCTTTCCCAGGCACATCACAGTGGCAGAGTTATTTATGATTCTGACCCAATGGGGATCCCTCTCCTCGGGGAGGATGCCAACCCACGCCCTCCTGAATGGCAGCGTCCTCCCACAGAGACAGAGGGGAACAAGCAGCATTTATGCAGCGGCACAGAGGGAAGAGTGTGGGCTCTGGAGGCAGCGCAGCGGCACTCACGTCCCGGCCCAGACACTTCCTGTGTGACCTGGAGCCAGTTGATGAACCTGTCTGGGCCTCCGTTTCCTCATCTGTGAGAAGGTTTCGAAGGACACCTATTGTCTAATGTTGCTATGCAGATTAAATGCACTAGCAGAGGTGAAGTGCATAGCTTAGAGGAAGGAAGCCCTCACTAAGTCGTAGCTGGTGTGATAGGTGGGCCGATCCTGGCAGGAGCTGGGCTTGCTGGCTGCCCTGTTTTGCTGAGACAGCAGCAGCATCACCATCAGCAGCAACTGTGGAAATACAGACCCTTGATAAATACAGGTGAACAAAATGAATGATTAGAAACTGGATCTGCCGCTCTGCAGAACCCAGGTGCTGCTCCGCAGCTGCTGGTGCCTCAAGGCAGCTGCTAACACGGCAGGGGCCAGTCAGACCAGCAGTGAATAGCTCTGCTTCGTAAGACTTCATACACAAGGCAGGTGTGTGGACTGACCAGAAAGGTGGCAGTCACTGTCCATCAAGGAAACCCCCACCTATTTTCCAATGTGTCGGCCAGGGGCTTACACTTCCCAAAGGAGTGATCTCAGCTGGCTCCCCGACTGTTCCTGCCTCTGAGAGTGGATGCCCTCGGGTCTCTCCAAAGCTTCCTCCTCCTCCTCAGCCATGGGGTGAAGGAATCCTGTTTGCTGGGGAGGTGGGACACAGCCCAGGGTGGCCTTTTTGGGACAGCCAGCGGGATGTGATGGCACCTACAAGTGATCTTTGGAGATGGAGGTGCTATGCCCACCCGTGGGGACTGCCTGGGTGTCTCCTGGCCTCTGTCAATCTCCTTGTTCACACTGAGATTCTGTGATTCTCCTCTGAACACTTCCATGGATAATTTTATTTTTTTCAGAGACACTGTTAGAGATTTTTAAAACGGCAAATCTCTTCATTTTCCTGGGGCTGATTTCCCAGGTCCGTGGGGTCCTGTCCAGAAGCAGCAGAGCCTGTTGGTTATAACACTGGCCTGGGATTTGGAGACTTGAGGCTTACTCAGATCTTGGGTGTTAACGATCTCTGATGAGTTTCTGGGGCAAGTGACCTGCCCTTCTGGTTGGATGTTCCTGAGGACACTTCTGGGGGAACCATCTGTGTGTTCACTGTGGTATCCAGGGGCTGGCACAGGGCCTGGCACCCAGTAGATGCTCAGTAAAGATTTGCTGAATGAATGAGTGCCTCCTGCCAGACAACGATTCATTTGGTCACTTCACCGCTCCTTTACAGAGGGTGTCCCATCCACTCCCATGCCTCTCATTACTTACTGGGAATTTCAGTGCTAGAAATAATGGACAAAAAAGGATGCGACGGTTGGTTTGAACTTGGCTGGCTTATCTTTGGATTTTCCTGACTGTCCAGGCACCCATCCCTCCTAAGTGCAGGTTGGGTTTGTGGGAAGAGAGGAAGAGAGGTTGATCCCAGGGTATCTCATTTCTGGTGATTTTGCTTCCTCACAGGTTTGCCCAAGGGCTGGGAAGTGGATTCCACCCGTGAAGGAGCTGTGTATTTCATCAAGTGAGTAAGAACCAGCTCCCTTTCTGATGTCACCGCTGGTTCTGCTTTTGCCCTTGTCAGGAGGGGAGATGGTTAAAGTGTCTGGTTTTTCAGTGAAGGCACTGCTGGGTCTGTGACTGGCTAGGAGGTTCCAGCTCTCTTCTGAGAGCTGAGATAGAGATGAGAATGTATGTGTCTGTGTGTCTGGGCAGTAACCAATGTCAGTCCTGGGCGGGAGGTGGGGGAGTGCTGGGCTGGGCTGCACCGGTGGGAAGGAGATGGCTCAACAAAGCAGAGGAAAGAGTCTGCTCAAGTTTCGGAGGCAGGAGATGGAGCCGAGGCGGAGGCAGTGGGAAGGGAAGGTGTCCGTGGGGTGTACGAAGGAGGACGTCAGACTGGGGGTGGCAAGGCCAGCTCTGGTCACTCTTGCTCTAGTGGGTGGGGGCATCTGCGATTCTGGGGGTGGTTTCTGTGGGTGGGGGTACTCTGTTTTACTCCTAGGGGTTGGTTAGGCCCCTCTCTGGGCTAGGGAGCCCTTATTTCCTACCGTGGCTAAAGGTGTGCCCTAGGAAGTGGCCTTGGACTTAACCTTGGAAGTAGAGACACAGCTGTTTAGGCTGGAGCGGTCCATGAGCTACCCAGTGAAACTCATTCCTCTTTGCCTCGGCCTGGGTCTCTCCATCTCCCAGCCAGGCTGGGAGCTGGTTTCATTTGCATGGGTGAGGCTCAGCGTGCCCAGGCCTGTGGGCCTCACCCTCTGGTCTGGCCTCAGATTCTTGCAGGGATGGTGAAGCGCCTCTGCCCAGCCGGCTGGGGCAGTGGCACCACCAGAGGGAGCCCATCTAGCCAGGGGAGGAAGGACCCTCGTCTCATCCCCTTTCCCTCCCTCTCAGCTTTGAAATCCCCATCCATCTATACCAGGAGGGGTTACCTTTCCATCCCCCCACCGCCAAGATCTGCCAGCACTTAATCTGTCACCGTCTACCACCTACGTCAGCTTAGCTGCTAACCTATTCTTTTTCTTTTCTTTTCTTAGACCAGGTCTCGATCTGTCACCCAGGCTGGAGTGCAGGGGTGTGATCTCAGTTCACTGCAGTTTCCACCTCCTGGGTTCAGGTGATTCTCGTGTCTCAGCCTCCTGGGTAGCTGGGACTAGAGGTGCCCACCACACCTGGCTAATTTTTGTAGTTTTAGTCGAGGTGGAGTTTTGCCATGTTGGCCAGGCTGGTCTCGAACTCCTGGCCTCCAGAGATCCACCTGCCTTGGCCTCCCAAAGTGTTGGGATTACAGGCGTGAGCCACCACACCTGGCCCTATTCACCATATTCTTAAAGCAAAAACGAAGTTTTCTTTTCTTTCTTTCCTTCTTTTTTTCCCTCCTCCTCTTCCTCCGTCTTCCTTTCAAAGTATCTGTTCTGGAAATTGTTCTAATATCACATGGCTGTTATAGACTGAATTTTTCCTAAGTTTGGACCCAAATCCTTCTTGCTTCAGTTAAGAATTGTAAATTGTTTCTTCTTTTCTCTCTCGTGCAGATATTACCTTCATATTCCTTTTTGTACATGGCTCTAGGGATTGTTCATTAAACACCTTCACGTGTCTTATGGCATCTCACCAGTCCCGAGAAACGCACCTGTCCACCTCTCTGACCTCGTGTCCCTCGCCCAGCCGGCTGCGCTGCCATCTTTCCTTCCCTCCATCATGTCAAACCCATCCCCACCTCGGAGCCTTGGCACCCGCCACTCCCCCTGTTTGAGAGCACTCTCCTCCTACTTCCACACACCTGGCTCCGACTCCTTGATTAGTCCAAGTGTCACCTCCTCAGAGAGGCCGTGCCTAACTGCTCCACCCAGTTCCCTCACCCCTCCACAGTCTTACTCTTACTTTTCTTTGCAGCACCCAGCACTACCTGAAACATGTTTGTTTATGTATCTGTTTGCTTATGTATTGCTGGTCCCTGGCTGCTGCATAAGCCCTGGGAGCAGATTCTGGCTACTGTGTTTTCCACTCCCTCCTAGAACCTTTCTGGCATGATAGGAACCCAGTATTTCCTGAAATGAATGCATGTGTAAAAAACATTGAGGGATAAACAACAGAGGCATAATTGATTTCTGCTTCAGCTATCAGCCCAGAGCTTTCTTCTGAGCTCCCCCAATTCAGTGTGTCCAGACTTGGAGTCATCGCTTCTTGGTTTCATCTTTTCTGGAAATACTACCAATGCAGAGCCCTCAGAGACACCCTCACCGTTTCTTCTCTCACGCCTCCCCCTGGGTCCTGTTAATTCTCCTCCCAAATATTTCTGAACCCACCTGCTCTCATCATCCCCATGGCCATGGACTCTCACTCGCATTATTGTAGAAGCTTCCCGACTGATCTTCCTGCCTCCAGGCCATAATGCTGCAAGAGTGCTTTTTTTCTAGAATTCAGATTTGGTCATACTAAAAACTCTGCATGTTTTCTATCTCTTACAGGATAACATCTAAATTCCTTATCTGGGCTCGTAGAGGGCATCATAGTCTCACTCCTGGCCCCCTTCCCAGCCTCACCTCCCACAGTCTCCAGCTGGCTCTTTAGCCTTCTCCTCTAGCCATACCAAATTGCTTGTGGTTCCCTCAACATTCACCTCCTTTCCATGCCTCCGGGCCTCTGCAGGTGCCAATTTCTCCTTACATGGCTCGTGCCCACCTGAGGACACTTGCTCTTCCTTCAAGCCCTGCCCATGCCATCACCTCTGCAGGGCTCTGTGTATTGCAGTTAATCGCTTATAGTTGTGTCATTTTCCGCTAGATCAGTAACTGTCCAACTGGAGAACGTATCACAATCACCAGAGGGTTTGTCGGAGCACAGATGGCTGGGCCCTACCCCTAGCATTTCTGATTCAGAGGGTCTTGAACATGCATTTCCCAACACATTCTCGGGTTATGCTGCGGCGGCTGCTCTGGTCCCATACTTTGAGAACCAGTAGTCCAGACTGAAAACTCATCAAGGGCAGGCGCAGCACGAGGAGGCTGTAAAGTCCAGAGACATAGGCAATATTGTTTAGTTATCAACCAGCCATGTGTTCTGTGTTCACATACATTTCCAGACCTGATAGCCTTTCTGTATATCTCAGCAGCAGCTGCCCCTCTAGGAACTAAGTGCTTTAACATTGACTCCTTACCACGCCTTTATGAGGAAGTCCGATAATCCCTGTTTTAGCAAATAATGGGAAAACTGGGACTTACTATTCCATGTCACAAGGCTTGTATTAGTAGAAAGCAAGCAGGGAGGCAGCCTCACGTGTGCCTGATTTCACAGGCTGCGCTCTCAGCATGATGGCACAGTTGCTTCACCTTGCTTGGACAAAGGAGGTGCTCAGTGAGTTCTTAGTGAATGAGTGAGTGAATGAATGAACAGCTGGCTCACTGTTCGTTCCTGTGTTCCCAGTTCCCACAAAATCTTAATGACGTTTGGTTGGTGGGTGAGTTAGAAACGCAAACAATTCCAGAAATGGATTCCAAGTAATAATTAAATCCAGACAACTTGGGAAACTATTTTGTTTCTTTCAGTGTGGACCAGGGAAATTTCAATGAGCAAATACTGACATCTGCCCAGGAGCAGACAAGTATGTTAATTTCGTGTCAACAAGCTCTTTCTTTCAGGGTATTTAGGAAGTGACCCTCATGGTATCCACAACAGACGTGTTGCTCAAGTGCGCCTGAGGTTCGGAAGGTGTCATTTACTGGGAAGAGGGGTGGGAGGAGGCGGGAACAAGTGAAGGGTGAAACGTGGGAAAAACGCCATCTCCAGCCTGCATGCACTTACCGGATAAATCCACAAGAGGGCTCCAGAGCACATGGCCGGCCCCGCAAGGCCTCTCGGGGGTTTGCTCGCAGCGTCTCAGGCTGATGGCGCCTTCTCGGAGGTGACGGGGCCCCTTCCCATCCCCTACCACATCCCAGCCATGGTGGGTCTGGTAGCCGTCTTTCTGATGCCGAAAGCTCTAGCTATGTAACACCCATTCCGGCCCAGCAGGACGTCTTCCCCGCCCCCTTGTCTCCTTCCCCGCCGTTCCCGTGGAAGCCGCCAGCGGTGAGACTTGCCGGTTCTGTCCCCGGGGGCGCCTCTCCCCTTCTCCAAGGTTGGCGGGGAGGGAGACTTGGCAGGACGCTTTTGAGAGCCACGCCCCTGAGAACCCGCTCCTCCACCGAGGGAACCCCGCCCAGCCGTCCGTCTTGTGCTGAACGCTTCCTCCGGGAAGGCGCGGGAACGTGCAGGCAGGCAGGCCACCCACCGTCCCCGCGCGCCCACGCGCTGCTCGGCGCTCCCTGAGGGGCTGCGCGGAGGCAGAGATCGGAACCCGGGGCTCTGCCCCGGCTGCTCCAGGCTGGGCGGTGAGTCCTCCAAGGCTGTGCTGGGTCTCTGGGAGTCATCAACACAGACCCCAACCCGAACTGCGAGACCCTGGAGGAGGAGGCGCCCTGGGAGGGGCGGTGGAGCCACCAAGAGCTGTTTGTTCTGTTGTCTCCAGAAGGCAGACTGGACAGAGTCCAGGAGTCCTGGGAAAGCAGTTCGGGTATAGTGACCCGACTAGCCCTGCCCTTAGAAAGGCAAGTAACACCCCAGAACGGTAAAGAAGGAGGCGGCCGAAGAGAAAAGGCAGTGAATGTGCTGGGTTTCAAAGAAGCCCATTTGCAGGTGGGGAAAACAGAGGCTCAGTAGTCAAGTAACTTGTTCGAAGTCACTGAGTTACTCAGGGACGCGGCTGGGCTTCAAAGTCACACAGATCATCAAAGATAGTTTATCGTTAGCCAGGCATGGTGGCTCCCACCTGTAGTCCCAGCTACTCAGTAGGCCGAGGCAAGAGGATGGCTTGAACCTGGGAGATGGAGACCAGTCTGGTCAACATAGTAACACTCTGTCTCTGCAACAGATAAAAAATTCAGCTGTATATGGCGGTGTGCACCTGTAGTACCAGCTTACTTGGGAGGCTGAGGAGGGAGGATCACTAAAGTCCAGGTAGAGGTGGAGGCTGCAGTGAGC